GGAGCTAAATTCTCAGATGTAAACTCCTTAGAAGTGATGTTACTTTTGAAACTTTTTGATCTGTAGAAATGTCTATCAGATTGGTATACATATTTCCTCAAGGGTTATATATATACTTCCAAACCACAAGGCAACTGAACAATTATCACTGTTATTCTTGTCTCTATAATTGTTTTATCTGTTTAATTTTTGTCTTACACTCCTGGCTAGTAAGCTCGTTTACTATATGTTTTATGTTTTTCTGTCCTCCAAGGTACTTACTGCAGAGACAGACATAGTGGTGGCTCCATTAATGCCAGTGTCACTGTCAAGGATATTTGGCATTTTCAGTGTTTTTACAGGATCAAACAGGTTCATGATGGTTAGTTTGTTTCTGGATGACCCCCTCCAGAGCCTCATGCAGTCATGGGAGCAGCTTTTTGGAGGCAGCTAAATCTAGAGTTTATGATTGGTTCATGGTCTAGTACTGGGATTGGTGGTGTGTGTGCTACACTTGCCCTAGGGTGGGTAGCCTGAATACAATATAAGGGAGGGAAAAAGGCTTGTTTCCCTTCTCTTTTGGGCTCTTATTGTTTTTGATGTCTTCTGTACCATGAATGGTTTTGGGGGCTGGGGATTTAGCTCAGCAGCAAAAGTGCCTGCCTGGCAAGCGCAAGGTCGTGAGTTTGGTTCCCGGTACCGGAGAAAAACCAAAAAAAAAAAAAAAGAATGGTTGCCCCTTGGCCATGCCACCTGCCTTGGAGCCAGCTGAGTATGGAATGAAACCTCCACAAACTGTGCACTAAACAAACCTTTCATTACTTAATTTTGGGCATCAGGAATTTTGTCTCAGCAACAAGTAACCAAGATGGGATGCAAAAGCAAAGTGCAGCCTCAGACTTACAGTCTACCCAGAACAACAACAGAAGGCATCTGCATAGAGGAAAATGAAGAGACACACCTGGAATTTCCAAACTGATGGCAACCAAAGTAAAGAAACCCATGAGGTTATAGAGAAAATCAAATCAGAAATAATATCTCAGGTTAAAAAAAAGAGTGAAGGAATTTATCAGCAAATCTAGAGTAGACATAGATGAAAAAATAGAGGAGCATAGGAAAATGATGGAAACCTTGAATCAGCAATATAAGAAAAAAATAAAATTCGTAAAACAGATTCAGGGGCTGGGGATTTAGCTCAGCGGCAAAGCGCCTGCCTGGCAAGCGCAAGGTCGTGAGTTCCGTTCCCAGTACCGGAGAAAAAAAAAAAAAAAAAACAGATTCAGACACATATCCAGGAAGTTAAAAATTCCGTTGAAAGCTCGCAAAACTGCCTAAATAAAACAGAAGATAGACTTTCAGACCTTGAAGGCAGCATTGCACCTAATGATCATGAAAGAAAGATCTCAAAAATAAAAAGGGATCAGGAAATAATTCAACGTCTACAACACGATGCAAAGAAAAACAATATAAGACTGATAGGTGTCAACAAAAAAGCAGGAAAAAACACAAATGACATGAAAGGGCTATTTGCAGAAGTAGTAGCAGAAAATTTCCCAAGCATGGGAACAGAATCTGACAGAGAGATAAATGAGGTGTATAGAACTCCAAATAACTATAACCAACATAAATCTATGTCCCGATATGTAATAGTCCAGAAACTTATACACTGAAATTGAAAGGATGGAAAACAATTCTCCATGCAGCAGGCACCTAGAAAAAAAGTAGGGGTGGCTATTCTATTTGAAGGCAAGGTGACCTTGAGGCCAAGAATGATCAAAAGATAAAGGTCAGTACATACTTGATAGGGAAAAACTTCCACAGGAAGAGATAACAGTCATAAAAATACATGTGCACCAAGCTCAAGAGCGCCCTATTTTATGAGACAAATATTAACAGACATGAAAAATCAAATAAGCAGCAACAGTTGTAACAGGGAACCTTAACACTTAACACCCCATCATCACAAAGAGATCAGCTAGACAAAAAAAGCCAACAAGGAATTTACTACACCTGTGAACAGATGGACTTAGTAGGCATTTACAGAGTATTCCACTCAATAACATAAGAATACACATGCTTCTCAGCTGCACATTGGATAACCCAATAAGAGTTCATAAAATTGAAAATGTAGTGAAAAACTTCGCAGCAAAGTACACCACAGGTGCTGGAGGATTCTGCAAGGAATTTAGAGAAAAGTTAATGTCAATACTCCTCATACTCTTCACTGAAATTGAAAGGGAAACAGTACTCCCTCTTTCCTGGAGGGGCGAATTACCTAATACCAAAACCATAGAAAGACTCAACCAAAAAAGAAAACTACTGGCCAGTCTCCCTAATGAACACAGATGCAAAAATCCTCAAACTACTAGCAAACAGAATGCAGCAGATCATCAAGAAGATTACACACCATGACCAAGTAGATTCACCCCAGGAATGTAAGAATGGTTTAACATAATACAAATCAAAAATTCTGATATACCATATCCACAGAGCCAAAGACAGAAATCACATGATCTTCACGATAGATGCAGAAGAGGCTTTAGTTAAAGTCCAACACCCATTTATGATAAAAATCCTACAGAAAATCAGAATAGATGGTCTTTACCTCAATCTGCTAAAAGTCATCTGTTGCAGACCAACAGCCAACATCATACTACCTGTATAAAAACTGAAGGTTGTCACTCTAAAACCAGGAACAAGACAAGGAGGTCTCACAATTCCTATTCAGTGTAGTTCTAGAAACATTAAACAGAGCAACAGACAGAAGAGAGAAATACAAGGAATTAGGATAGGAAATGAAGAAGTGAAATCCTTATTTGACATCATACGCTACATAGACAACCCCAAAAACTCCACCAAAATACTGCTAGATTTAATAGCCAAATTCAGTAGCATAGCTGGATACAGAGTCAACACTCAAAAATCATTAGCATTCCTGTACACAAATAACATGGACTGAGAGAAGTTAGGAAAATTACACCCTTCACAGTAGCATCCAAAAAATGGAATACTTAGGAATCAATCTAATGGAGTGAAAGATCTCTGTACTGAACATTACAGTTCTCTGAGAAAGGATATTGAAGAGGGTATTAGAAAATTAAAGATACTCCCTGCTTATGGGTAGGTAGAACCAACATTGTGAAAATGGCCATTTTTACAATTTTCTAAAATTGTTATACAGATTTGATGCACTTCCAATCAAAATACCATTGGTATGTCTCACAAAACTGGAGAAAACATTTCTAAAATTCATTTGGAACCAGAAGAGTCATAGAATAGCAAAGGCTATTCTGGGCAAAAAACTCAAGGCTGGGGGCATCACAATACCTGACTTAAAATTGTACTACAATGCTACTGTGATCAAATTGGTCTGCTGCTGGCAAGGAAACAGACCTGAGGATCATTGGTATGGATTAGAAAATACAGACACAGCTCCAGACATACTCAGCCACCTTATCTTTGACAAAAGGGCCAAACATGTTCACTGGTAGAAAGATAGCCTCTTTAATAAATGATGCTGGAGAAACTGACTCTGCATGCCAAAGACTAAAATTGAACCCCTGTATATCACAATGCACTGAAGTCAAAATGGATCAAAGATCTCAATATTAAAACAGAAACACTAAGTCTACTGGAAGAGAAAGTATGTAGAAATGTTGAAGATATAGGAAGAGACTTCGTGAACAAAACACAGACCACATGGGAAATACTTCGAAGAATCAAGAACTGGGATTTCTTATTACAAAGCTTTTATACATCAAAAGAAATCACCAACAGTCAAAAGATGACACACATATTGCAAAAAAATTTTAGCCAATTGTCCCCCAAAAAAAGACATATTTAGAACATGTAGAGAAATTTTTAAAACTGAAGGCCCTCAAATTCAAAGACCCAATCCAAAAATGAGTATCTGAGATGAGTACACCCTCCTCCAATGAAGTAATACAAATGGCACATGAATATATGAGAAAATGTTCAACATTATTGGTCATTCAGGAGATAAAAATTAAAGCAACACTTAGATTCTGTCTCATCCCAGAAAAAAATGGCTATCATCAAAAACTAATAACAAATGTTAGAAGGCTATGGATAAAAAGGCATCCTTTTCCACTGTTAGTGGGAGTGTAGACTGGTGCACCCGTCGTGGAAATCAGTGTGGAGATTCCTCAAAAAAGTAGGATTGGAGATTCCATGTGACTCAGCTATTCCCTGCTGGGTATCTTCCCAGAAGAATTAAAAACAGCATACCACAGTGATACCTGTCCACCCATGCTTATAGCTGTACAATTTGTAATAGCAAAGTCTTGGAAACAATCCAAATGCCCATCCACTGAGGAATGGATAAAAAAGTTGTTTATACAACAAAATACTAGTCATAAGGATAAACTTTAGGGTTTCATAGGTAAATGGGGGCAATTTGAGACCATATTCATAAGTGAAATAAATCAGACCCACGTGTGTAAACAATGTATTGTCTCAATAGTGTAAGAACCTGAAAGAGTGAATAAAAATTAGGAGGTATGATAGACTTTGTGAAATGAAAGGAAACTGCTCAAAAGTAAAGAACAACTGGGATGAGGGAAAAAAGAAAGAAGGGGAAATTTATGTATATATGTATATACAGGATACCTAACATAGCTGTACTACTGACTTTTATTGCTCTATTGAAAACAACAGTTAATGATCAATCTGATGTGAAATTGTTTTATCCTTTTTTTCCATGAAGTAAAAAAATGGGTGGATGAGTTTTTCAAGCAGTGCAGATTCTCAGAACTGCTTACTGTCTTCTCTGTATTAGATGGTAAGTAGTAGGGCTTTGACAGGTATTAGACATTTGCTGTAAAAAGAGTAATTCAAGATACCCAAGCAGCACATGTGAATGTGAATGCAGACCAAAAGAAAATACCAAGTCTTGAAGTAAAAATTTGGAATGCACAGTATCATGTGAACTCATTATAAATTGAATAAAGATGCCCTGCTATCAGTCTCACCTTCTTGAAAATATATTTGGGATGTTTTAGGAGTCAGTGACATTTGAGGATGTGGCTGTGGACTTCACCCAGGAGGAGTGGGCTTTGCTGGATCCTTCCCAAGAGAATCTCTACAGAGTGGTGATGCAGGAAACCCTCGAGAACCTGATCTCTGTAGGTAAGGGGGATAATCATTCCTTCAGTTAGATACTTCAAGAACAAATATTCTTCGTTTACCAATGCTGTTGAGGAATTTTCGGTATAAAAAATACTTTAGCAAGTAAAATTGAGCAGGTCTATACGATAGTGTTAATCTAGAGTGTTACAATACATTTTTGTTTTTGAGACAGTGTCTCACTGTATAGCCCAGCCTGGCCTGGAACTTGTGGCAGTACTACTCCCTTAGTCCCCTAAGTTGTAGGATTACATGCATACACCACCATACCAGACTTGTTGCAGTATTGATCATGTTGTAATTAATAATTATTTCTCTGGGTCTATATTTTAGGACACAGATGGCGTGAGCAAGCAAGTGAAGATAAATACAAAAATCCTGGGAAACTTTTACGGTAATTTCCACCTACAAAAGAAAGCACTATTCCTAACAAAATTTTCATGATGTCAAATATTTTAAGAAGATGATACAAGCCGCACTTCAGAATAACTGAGAAAATTATTTCTTAAATTAAACACAGGTTGACCAGCCTTATTCTAAAACTTTCAAATCCTAATTTATCTAATGTCCTAAATTTATTGGGCACTAATGTGACACCACAAGTCTTTCTGATGGTGGTGTTGATGGTGATGTTGTTTTGTTGTTTTTGATACCGGGAATGTCTCAGGACCTTGCACTTTCCAGGTAGGAGCTAAGCTGCTGAGCTATTCTTCTTGTTGTTGTACACAAATTTTGTTTTATGAAAAAGATACTAACAACATTGTATGAAATAATTAGTTCATCTTTACACTTGGGTCCCTCGCCAAGGCTTCTCATTATGTATATGCAAATATTTCAAAATCCAAAACCCAAAACATGTTTCCAAGAATGTTAGGTAAAGAATACTTACCCTGAAGAAAAAAAAGAATACTTACCCTGTACTTACATGTGATCTAGACATTCCTTGTTTACAAAATAATGAACTTACAGTCTTACAAACCTCATATATATATAACTCTTTTCAAATTAGCTGTGTCTGATGTAGTGAATGGTGCTAATTGACTACATGCCTGTTCTTACAGATTATTTAATTATAAAGCTTCTACTTTTTTACTCAGTGTTAAAATATAACCAATAAAAACTAATGTAAGATCATTAATTCATAATGTGCTTCTTTATTACAGAAGTCAGATTGTGGAGAGTGAATATAAAGAGGAAGCTAGTCAGTGTGGAAAAACCTTCAGATCTCCAGACTTTCAGTCTCCAGATCAAACTTTAACTGACAAACCTGGACTACGTCCTTTGGGATGCTCTGCGTTTAAGGAAGTCCTCATTGGCCATTCATCCCAAAATGTGCCCCTCAGACCTCACAGTGGAAAGAAGTCGTGTGAGAATCAAGAACATGTAGAAAAGCCATGTAAGTACGGGCAAAATGAAGAACGCTTTACCCTTCCCCAGTGCTTTGAGAAGCTTGAAACAACATGTACTGGAGAGAAGCCACCTGAATGTAAGCAGTGTGGGAAAGCCTTCAAGTATTATAGTGGCTTAAAAAGACATCAAAAAATGCACACTAGAGGAAAACCCTGTGTGTGTAAGCAGTGTGGGAAAGCCTTCATTCACTCCAGTGCTCTTCACATACATGAAAGAACACATACTGGTGAGAAATGCTATGTTTGCAGGAAATGTGGGAAAATGTTTTCACATTGTGCTTCCCTTCAGCTACATGAAAAAATTCACACTGGAGAGAAACCTTATAAATGTAAAGAATGTGGGAAAACTCTCCGGTCTTACAGTGCTCTTCATGTACATGAAAGAACTCACACTAGTGAGAAACCTTATGTGTGCAAAGAATGTGGAAAAACATATGCACAGTGCGCCTCCCTTAAAGTGCACAACAGAATTCACACTGGAGAGAAACCTTACAAATGTAAAGAATGTGGGAAGACCTTCAGGTCCTCTAGTACTCTTCATGTACATGAAAGAATTCACACTGGTGAGAAGCCCTATGTGTGCAAAGAATGTGGAAAAACATTCACACATTGCTCTTCCCTTCAACAGCACAGAAGAATTCATACTGGAGAGAAACCTTATAAATGTCAGGATTGTGAAAAAGCCTTCAGAACCTCCAGTAGTTTACAGAGACATAAAAGGACTCACAGTAGAGAGAAGCCTTATGCATATAAACAGTGTGGGAAAGCTTTCAGTGACTCCAGTGTTCTTCATGTGCATGAAAGAACTCACACTGATGAGAACCCCTATGTGTGCAAAGAATGTGTAAAAACATTTGCACATAACACTTCCCTTAAACTGCACAACAGAATTGACGCTGGAGAGAAACCTTACAAATGTGAAGAATGTGGAAAAGCCTTCAGGTCCCCAAGTACTCTTCATGTACATAAAAGAACTCACACTGGTGAAAAGCTGTATGTGTGCACAGAATGTAAGAAAACATTTCAGTGTTATACTTCCCTTCAAATGCACAGAAGAATTCATACTGGAGAGAAACCTTATGAATGTCAGGAATGTAAAAAAGCTTTTAGCACCTCCAGTAATTTTCAGAGACATAAAAGGACTCACAGTGGAGAGAAACCTTATGCATGTAAACAATGTGGGAAAGCCTTCAGTTACTCCAGTGTTCTTCATGTACATGAAAGAACTCACACTCATGAGAAGCCCTATGTGTGCAAAGAATGTGGAAAAACATTTGCACATTGTACTTCCCTTAAAGTGCACATCAGAATTCACACTGGAGAGAAACCTTACAAATGTAAAGAATGTGGGAAGACCTTCAGGTCCTCTAGTACTCTTCATGTACATGAAAGAATTCACACTGGTGAGAAGCCCTATGTGTGCAAAGAATGTGGAAAAACATTCACACATTGCTCTTCCCTTCGACTGCACAGAAGAATTCATACTGGAGAGAAACCTTACAAATGTCAGGATTGTGAAAAAACTTTCAGAACCTCCAGTATTTTTCAGAGACATAAAAGGACTCACAGTAGAGAGAAGCCTTATGCATGTAAACAGTGTGGAAAAGCTTTCAGTGACTCCAGTGTTCTTCGTGTACATGAAAGAATTCACACTGGTGAGAAGCCCTATGTGTGCAAAGAATGTGGAAAAACATTCACACATTGCTCTTCAACTGCACAGAATAATTAATACTGGAGAGAAACCTTATAAATATCAGGAATGTTAAAAAGCCTTCAGAACCTCTGGTAGCTTTAGGAGACATAAAAGGACTCATTGATAGTAGAGAGAAACCTTATGCATGTAAATATGGGAAAGCCTTCAAATGTGTCATGTATCTCAAAGTACATGAAAGAATCTATACTGGAGAAAAGCCTTACGTATGTCAACTGTAGGAAAGCATTTATTTACTCCAGTTCCCTTATAGTGCACAAATGATCTCATACTGGAGACAATCTTTATAATCGCAAGCAGTGCCAAGCCTTCAGATGTTCCAGTCATCTTCACAGACATTAAATGGCTCACTGGAGAGAAGCCCCATAAGCAAAGAAGCAAAGCCTTCCATCATTCTCATACCCTTCAAATACATGAAAGAATCCACACTAGAGAGAAGCCATATACAGCTAAGCAGTGTGAGAAAACTATTCTTACGTTGCAGTTCCTTTCAAGGACATGTTGGAGAGACACTTAGCTATAAGCATTGTGCTAGTGTTAAGTTTTTCTAGTACTCTTCAAATACATAAAAGGATTTATGCTAGGTACAACTCTTACCTATGTGAGCAATAGAAAAACCTTCACTTTTCCCAAGTATTGAAGACAAGAAATTCTATGTATGTAAGCAATAAGGAAATACCTTCAGATGTTCCAGTTTCCTTCAAAAAATGAAAAAATTCAGAGAAGACTATGTACATAAAGAAAAGCCTTGACTCATTCTCCTTTCCTGAATACATTCCACCTGTGTTCAATTCGTGAAAAGAAACACTAAATATAGGATGGCAAAACCTTCGTTACTGTATCACCTGTCTGAAATGCTCAAATGCATAGTGGAGCAGAGTCATCATTGTACGGTGTGGGAAACAGTCATCTTTTATTCACAGATTTTAGTAAATAAATATGTAAGTAAATCCCTTAAGTATAATAGACCTCAGTTGTCCACATGAAAGAATTAACACTGGGGCCAGGGATAGAGCTCAGCAGCCCAGCACCTGCCTGCAAGCGTAAGGTCCTGAGTTTGATTCCCAGTACCAAAGGAAAAAAAAACACTGGATAAAATTCTCTATATGTCAAAAATACTAATTGGCAGTCGCAATTAATACTTTCCAAGACCAGTGAAAATTCATCCCATGAAATTCTGTGAATGTAAGTAACACAGTGTAAAGAGAACGAGGCAATGTAATTTGGATAAAATGCACCAGAAGATGCCCCATTTGAAGGAAATGTAAAAGGTATGCATTGTCCTTGTCAGTGGCTCCTTGTTAAAGTTCATCTCTGGATTATGGATGTTTTACTGTGGAAAACAAAAACATGTGCTAAGTGTTATTAAAGCAGTAGTATATGAGGTGTGTGTGGATTTTTCCCCCTATACTGGGGATTGAACTCGGGGTGCTTCTACAGCTCATCTACATCTGTAGTCATACAACATTTACTATATCTGTACATTGTTGATTTATGTATTTGTTATTAACCATATATATAAAGATAAATATAATTTTGACACAAATTATAAGTTGACCAAGCCAGCCCAAAACTTTTGGTCCTCCTGTTCAAATCTCCCAGAGTTGGGATTATACTTGTGTGCCACAGTGCCCAGGGTGGTGTAGAAACTTTATTTTCTTCAAGTTACTCAGTAATACAAGGATTATTCTATTGACAGTACACGGAATTTTCACCAACTTTTTTTTCATTTCTTGGGACTGAACCCAGTATCTCTCACATGCATAGAAAAGGCTCTGCCAGTAACTCACAGTGTTCGATTTTTTATTTTTATTTTGAGACATTTGCACTTAATTCTCCAGGTTGACACAGAACTGTTTCTTTTGCCGTAGTGTCCTGATTAGCTTGGATTAGAGGCATGCTTCATCATGCTGAAAAGTTTATGTATAATCCATCTTTTTTTAATAAAAAGGAGTTTTCAGTGTGACAGTTGAGGCAGTGGCACTGTACATGCCTACAATAGACAGGCCATGTGCTCAATGCCAAGCAGGACAGACGATGAAAATGCAACTTTTGGCTGCATATTTTACTGTTTCAGTTTCCTTCAAACATGTTTGTTCTAGATAATTTCCAAACTAAGCATTACAAAGAATGTGTGAAAAGTTAAGTTTAGATTGTGAAAGGGAAAGAAACTGCTCAAAAGGAAAGAACAACTGAGCTGAGGGAAAAGAGGAAAGAAAGAAGGGAAATATGAATAAATAAATGTATACACAAGATAGCTAAGATAATTGTACTAATTTCTATTGTTATTGAAAGGAACAGTTAATGTTTGTTTGAATGTTTGAACTGCTTGATTGTTGATTGTTTTAATTGTTTGATTGTTTCAATTGTTTGATCAATCTACAGGCCTATATTTGTTTATCAGAGTAACCAATTTGAAGATACCTATATGTAATGCTACAACCATTGTTAATTTCCTACCACCTTGTCTGAAATGCTGTATTGCTTTCATTGTTTTTATGTCTGTGTCTGTTAATACGTTTTAGTTCTTGTATCTTTAAAAGAAAAAAGTTAAGTTTATAATTTTGGCAAGTTTTTATCTTTCATTACAAGTAAATCTTACCATGTGATAGTTGCTACATTAGTTATGTTGTCTTCTCAGAAATTTTGATCATAATTTCTCAAAGACCACGGAGATCATCCACTTTGTCACATAGGATGGAATGCATTAATCTATCCACAAAGCATTCTCCATAGAATTTTTATATCATTGGCTTTGGTTTTAGGGAAATCACTACTCCCTCACATCATGAAAAAATTAACATAGCACTTCCCTGTCAGAGTGAAACAGTCTTTGAAATTCAAAGACATTTCCTCCTAGATATATGTCATTTCTTACCATTATAACATCAAGAAGTCAAACCATCAAAAATTGATGATCTTTGTCCTTAGTGTTAATACTTTGACAATCTCTATGCATCCAATGAGTGTATTATCTTTAGGTAAGGTGTCAGAGTAGAATCCTAGATTGGACTGGAGTACTATGCCTTTTGTAGTTAAGCTTTTGATACTCAAAAAATAAAGTTTTAATAATTTTGGAATGCACTTACTACCAGCATTGTAAACTGGAAATGTACACAGTTTCATATGAATGACCTTAGCATTATGTGCTCTGAATCTAAAGTTATGAAAAGTTGTTAATCTAAATAAAGTTGGATTTTTTCAGTCCTGATGGTTATTTTTTTTTTTTAAGGAAACAGGTTTACAGGTTTACAACTGGTGTTTATAAAGTGTGAGTTGAACTGTATGTGTTCTCTTTGGAAAGTCATTTTGTGAATGACAATGTCTGCTTTCCCATTTCTGTATTCATACTCAATACCTCTTCAGTCAGGGTCATACTGCTCCCCAGGTCTGGCTGCAGAGTCCTGCCCTTACGAATATATCACCTATCTATAAAGAGCAAAGGCATAGTGCATAATTTTCCACTGATTGAAGATTTTATTGTCTATAACATGATCTATACGTGTGTTTCAGATTTCTCATCAGTGGCACAATATAGTTGACACAACTTAAACGGCAAATTTAATTTTGCTCACAACTTAGTCCAGAGTCAGCAGAAATGGCATGGCAGAAGGGCATGACCTAGAAAAGTTGCTTATCCCATGGCAGCAGGAACCAGTGAGTGGGGGTGGGCACAGCCTCACATCAAACGTGACACCTATTCCAACAAGGCACAATTTAACATCGTTTATGAACTTGCCAATAGGTCAGTCCACCAATCACCATCCAAAAGCCTCACCTCTGAATGTAGGAGACTTTTCAAGGGATATTTTGTATCTAAATACCATGGGGTCCGAGTTTCTAATTATTTTGGCACTGAAGCTTCTGCTTAAATCACTTGAGGATTTTATATATGGCTGTGTTCTTCTGGTGCTGGATAGAGTGAATGGTGAAAATAACACCAAGAGTTCATCTCAAGCCCCAGGGTTCATGTCAGTGTTAGGTCATCACAAATGTTTACTGTGAGAGCTTCGAGCACATCCACTGTGGTTAACTCCTTGAAACACCAAAGTATGTATGGTCCAACGTTAATTATGGGATAACTGAGATGAGCTGCACTTTGAGTGGACCACAATGCAAACACCAGAGAAAGTACGGGTGGTCCAATGTTAATTACGGGATAACTGAGATGAGCTGCTCTTTGAGTGGACCACGTTGCATAAGGAAGACTAATTTACTGCAGAAAAAGGACTTGCCAAGGTTTTCAGACACAAGTTTTACTCTTCCCCACTATGGTAAGATGCAGCTGGGCTGTCCATACAAAGAGAAGCTGGCAGTTTGTCAGGTGGCAAAAAACTAAGTGGTGACCTCTGCCATAGGCCTCTGATAATGAGCACGTCCTCTTCAAGCAGGCCCTGATTCCACTGTACAAAACGCAGGCATGAGGCCCCCCATGCTTTGCTGATGACAGCTCATTGTGTTGCTTTTTCCAGTATAATTCTCATAGTCCCTCTATTTGGTTTAAAGAAATACATATTCAAGTATTTTGCAATAAGGTATTTTGTATGTGTTGAAGTTTAGTTGAAGGGGTATGTACAGATGGTCCTACCCCAACCCGTTCTGTAATGTATGTCCCCATTCCCAGCTGCATCTCCCCATCACTCATCACGGTATTCGTTCCTAATAATCAAATCAGCTTGTGTTATATGATTTACTAATATGCTTTTGTGTTCTGTGGCTCATACACACCCCATTTTAAGCTGCCTGATGCCTGAAATCTTGTTGGAACCATCCCCAGGTCTTGGGATGCACTTCTGAACAACTATTGATATTCCCAGGATGAGGCTAGGCTACAGCTTTTGAGAGGAGGCTCCCAGAAGCTCTACGGAGACCTTGGGAGAGACCTTACTTCTCTGTACCCAGAAATAGTGACAGGGAAAGACAGGGCTCCTGAATGTTGAATTTGGGTGAATCACAGTCCAAACGTGGGTGTGTTCCAGATCTGAACCATAACGAGGTACATGATCAAGGTTACACCCAAGAAACCATACTTAAGTGATTCATGTGAGTGGAAGAAAGTCAAGTGCTGTTCATCAAGGCAATGGTAGAATGACTTCAAAGGAGGAGTGGAAATGTTTAAATGTGTTGATTGTACTGGGATAGTGACACATGGCCGTAATATCTACTGCAGAGAATGAGGACTGCAAGTTAGGCTGGTCTGGGCAGCTTAGCAAGACCATGTCTCAGTAGAGTTGGAGATACACCTTAGTGGTTGAGTGCCCCTGGCTTTGATCTCTAGTCCCCTCTCGGCTCTTTAACAGCTTCCTGCTATCTTCGTGGTCCCATATTACTAGGACCTTGAGGGAAGAAAGATTTAATGGAAGTTGCCCGAGATGCATGTGACTTTTAGGCATAATGTGTAAGTCCACCATGGAGCTCTGTTCCCTGTATTCTCACACAGCACGCCTGAGTCACCTCAGCCTTTGATACAAATCAACTGCTTGTTCCCTGTAATTCTAAGTACCAGTTGTGCCATAATTTTAAGGACAGAATTTAATTCAGAACAGTCTGGCTCCAAATTTAGAGATGATTTCACTGTGGGATAGCTAAAGTTTATGTAGTGGTCTCAGCTATGCTGTGTATGTGTGTATGCACATATGTGCATCTTTCAATGCTCAGCTTAATGTTTAAGCCTTTCATTTAAAAATCTCAATTACATAGTATTTATACCAATAGATGAAGTGTATTACCTTGACATATTTAATGTTAAAACTCATTATTCAGAATTTTTATGAAATTTTACTGATATTTTGTACTGTGTACTTGCCTTACAACATTAATTAGACCATGGGAAAATATATTAAAGAATTGCAAAGTGGAAAAATTTAAAAAAAAAAAAAACATTAATTAGAATAGCTAGTTTTCAGATGCTCAATTGTGACAGGGAATAGCATCTAAGAAAATGGGAAATATATTTCCTTTACAACTTAATGACTTCGCTTATCAAAGTTTTAAGTGTTTAATAATTAAGTTGAAAATGGCATTTCTTTTGTGCTTTGTTCTCATCCCTTAACCAATTGATTTATTATTTGTATGTCAGTTAGTCAATGTTGACATATAAACATTAAACAAAGTCCAAGTTTACATTTCATATTTAGTGAACATTATATTGATTTTGACACATGCAAACTGGCATGTTTTCAACCACTGCAGACTCACAAATAACTTCTCTCCTTTGAAAGTGTAGAAGGGAAGCATCACAGTATATTGTCCAGTGGCATTAGCCTGGGGGAGAGAAATTAAGAGTGGGAAGAAGGTCACAGTTCAGACTTTAGTAATGCAATGTATTTTTGTACTGACCTTTTTTGTACTGACTAGTTGAGAATTTCTGGATTTAGAGTAATTCCTGCTTCTCCAGGCAATGGGGAGCCTATGTGGCTAGGAGATTTTTAGCACAGGTGACTGACACACACATAAGCGTGGATAATACAGGGAAGGCTCCGTGTCTGCACTGCATGCTGTATGAGGCTGTTAGTTTGTAACAGGCTTTGCAGGGCATGGGGTTTGTATGTCCTCTACCGAGCACAGGCCTTTCCACACCACTTCAAAAGCACCTTGCAGTGACATCTCTGCTGTCATCCATGTGTTTCACCCCAGACAACATCGTGCAATTAGCCTCTTGACATATGCTTAGGACAGAATCTGCTCAAGCGATCCAGGCTCCTGGGAATTCGTTATAAGCAGACTTATGTGAAGTAATGCAGCCTGGAGATGAGGAAGGTGACCTTCAGACATTTTTCAACTTCCGTTTTTCACCTGGACACCAGGCATCAGATGCAGAGCTTCAGAGAGAAACAGCAGAAGATTACTCCAGGGGTTTGGAGGAGCTTTGGCTGAGAGAAGTCAAGATCATGAAAGCATCCACCATGGTCTTAACAAAAAACTCAAGCACACACATGTACACACACTGTTCATATTTAACTGACATTGCAAGGTACCCATTAACTCAGACTTTATCCTTGGTAGACACAAGATGCTGTCTTTAAGTCTATTTATCTTTCTCCTGTAGCTTCCTCTCTTAATGTGCAATTTGGATGACAACTGTCTATTCAGAAGCAGCACCAGTGCGCACAGGGATGGAGATGTGGTCATTGGGAGTTCCTTCTCCCTTTATATCTATCTATATATCAGTGATCTCTCTGAAATACAGCCTAATGAGAACATGATTATCCTGCAGTAGGTACTGTTTA